GGAATAAAAATAAAAACACTATAATAGAATATGACTACTCACTCGAAACGAACCTTTCATAAACATGAGCACAAATATGCCAATTTATAGCATTGAACAATGAATACAAATAATATAGACGTTATTGGACAACCAATAAAGGTGGTATGAATACCGATCAATTAAGCAATTAAGTCATTTTTCTATTAGTTATAGCTTTCCCTGTAGTACAAAAAATATCGAATTTGTTGAAAGTCGTTGTTAAGCTTTCATTCATTACTTGTTGATAATGATTTCAAATGAATCATTTGTAATGGTTTTATTGGGGTTTTAAATGTTATAAACATTTGCAAATCTAAAATATTGTTTGTTTTATGACACTATCCCGATATTATTTCACTATTTCGAAATAAATCATGATTTACCAGCAAAATAGATTGTTAGGCATTTTATTTTATTTCGAAATCAAATGCAATCAATTCGGTGGAAGATATCCGTTACAACTATACCGAATTTAGTTATTGGGTGTCCTGTAGCGGGCAGTGTATGCTTGACCTTTGGAAAACAGACGACAACACTTCGGATATATAGTTGCCTTAAAACCATTCCCAATTTAAATAAGGACCCTCATAAGTTCTTAATGTGAAACTTCAAAAATATTGCAGTCCCATTAAGAAAAAAAACACATTAACTTCACGCTGTGTAGATAAATCCTAAACAAATCGATATTTTTTCTCAAGGTGAAAAACAATAACTTCACCTTTCTCTGACCGGAGAAGAAAGACAACGTTGCGATTTAATATAGTGGTCAATATGAAAAATGCACTATTGATCAGGTCTACAACAAAACTCTAGGAGTTATGTCCCTTTGAAAAAGACGCGAATACCACCTTTTTTTTAAAAGTTTGCTCTTTGAAATTATTGTTACTTGACGTTTAGCCACTGTTGTAAATGCATGGCGTGATAATTCAATAAAATCATGTGGGATCCAGAAAAACATAAAATCAACGCAATCTTTTTATTTTATTAACCATGGCACCCAAGGACTGGAGCGATCGACAGTTCTTTATATTGGCACCATATTAATATGTGTTTTAATTGTTTTATTTATAAACATTATTGTAGCGATATGTGGTTAAAAAGATTCTTTAATGCGTTAATTTGAAGCCATTTATTGCATCGTTTATCGTGCCGTAGATTGTCGTAGACACTCTTCATCTATAATTCATGACTATATACAAACACTTCAAATCCCTTTGTTATATATTGACAAATCTAATGATGAATTTATTTTACATTATATACTTATTAATGGGTCATAAGAAGGTTTTTTCTGTTAGAGTATGAAGAATTGTTCTCTGGTGCTCTGAGTGATCAACGACATAACGGATGAGGTTTTATCATTCCAGCAACGGCACTGTTGATATTCTGGCATGCATATTTTATTATAAATATCATAAGTCTAGCATTTCACATACCAAATAAGACACAAACATATTTAAGCGCTCCCTGATCAGCCACACAAAAGGATTTGTTTTTATCTCCTGTGCATTAAAATGACAATTTACAGAATGAAAGAGTGAAGACGCTCGTAATATAGCACAACTGGAGTTGAAAATTAGTGGATTATATGCCAAAACTACAGACCTTGACCTACAGCCCACACCGTAGATCTGTGCATTTTTATTTTCCGAGTTAGACATTTGTATCTGTTTGTTATGCTGAGGGTTTTTTCTTCCTTAAAGGATGTAAATGTTGCCATAATTCACGCGAGAGAACGTTGAGTTTTTGGGTTTTTTTTCACGGCTTGCATTAAGAGCTCTTATCGATGTTTTTTGTGCACATTAAGAACTAGTTGATACTGTCTGTCTTCTCCATTGAGAGAAAGGCCAAGTTAGTTTTCCCTTCATATTGAGATAAAGTCCAGGTTGATGCTGTCTGTCTTTTCCATAGAGAGAAAGGCTAAGATTGTTTTCAAACGGTTAAAAATTTTCGTCGTAGGTTCAAGGTCATTTCTCCTCTAAACCAATCGGATTGCGTACGAAAATGTTCGTATGACCTTTGACATTGTATATACAAGAATTAAGTGACACCATTAAATTATGCTTGTTATAATTCGGAACAATTATTAAATATATTCCTCTTCAATTCCTTTTTCTTTCCGTGGGCGCATAGAACCCTTGCAGCACCACTGCAATAAACATATAAACATAAACTGCCTCGTGCACCCAACTTATAACTACATAGAGAGATATTTTCAACTCATCACGTCCGAATTATTCTATAGAGTGAAGTGACTATCGTATAGAAGCATCAAACGTGCTTTTGCGCATGGGCGTATATATCTCTTGCTACACTACTGAAATAAACATAAACTACCGCGTGCACCCATCCCGACTTATAACTACATAGAGCGATATTTTCAATTCGCCACGTCCGAAATATTCTACAGAATAAAGTGACTCGTAAGGGAGTCTCAAATATGCCTTTGCCCATGGGCGCGGAGAACTTTTGTATGACCACTGCAACAAAACGTATAAACTTAAACTGCCTCGTGCATCACACCTAGTTATAACTACACGGAGCGATATTATCGATTCGCTACCTCCGAAATAACATATACAGTAAAGTGACACCAGATGTTCTGGAGATCTCTATAAATACGTGAAGTAATTCAATTTAATTATGATATTTATATTTAATATGTTAGGTGATAACTACCTGCCGTTAATAGTCTTTGAAGTTGGCATGAGTACGTTCTCTAGGTACACATTTACTAACGACTAGACGTGGTTCTATTTACTTCTAATCAAACTGAGATGAAACTCACACCAGTATAATATATATATATAATAAATACACCAAAAACAAAAATATCACTGAACAGGGTCGGTATTCACACATCCTTAAAACCTGAGTGAAATATTGAAAATATTATATTTTCTAAATCAATATATTTCAACTTGCATACGTTACATTGTAGAATTCTCAGGTCACTAATGAAACAATAATTTGAGAGAGAAATGGGGGTTAACGTCCACTCGAAACAAAGTAGGTCATTTCGGGACTAACATATGGTTTAATTTTATTTACATATTTCTCTTGCGAGAAAACCCACGAGGTTGGACAGGCGACCCTACTCCTTGTCACGTCGACAGGGGATTCGAAACCACGCCAGTCGACTCAATAACAGACTTTATGATACAGCGCGCGCACGCTAACCATTCAGCACAATAATTTGAAATTATATTTCTAAAGCTGAACCTTTCAGTAAAATTATAGTCGGAAATACATGGAAATATATATCGGATTTGCTATGAATGCTTTCAAACAAATGTCAGCATATATACACTACAGTTTTATAAGTGGCGTATTTACAGGGTTAACAGGTGGGGTGGGGTGGGAGTCACTAACCCTACCCCTCTCCGTGGTCAAAAAGATTTATAACAGTACAAGACTCGCTCTTAAATCTACATAATACACCCTCCCCCACCCACTGCCATCCGCCACCATCCTTTCCCCACCTTTCTAATGTCTTGCACCCACGGTAACAAATGAATGCCAATGTTTAAAATCGATATTAAAATGGTTTATGACAATAACTCGCTAAGAAATAATTGAATTGGAGATCTGGGTTCATATGTTAAACTTAATTAGATAAATCAAATTGATATTCGAGATGAAAATAGATGCAAATAGAACATCGAGTAGATTAAAAATAACAGTACACTTACTGTAACCTGTACACTGGAGATTTGAATGGAAGATTGAACTATGTATATTCTCATATCGAGACCATACTGCTGGGTACAGATCGTGAACACAGGACAACCAGTACCTTAAGAGGATGATTATTGTATCAGATAATGCCCACCTCCCACTCGTCGATTTATCTCCAGGTCATAGTCAATTTATTCGTCTCATGATCGTGGAAAAATTGCTGGACAATGTAAGATTAAGCATTGCCCGACAGGTCCTAATTAGACAGGGTCTTCTAGCTTACCAAATTATTAACTTATTACACAGATATGAGCCTACGAGGACAGTCGCAAGACATCTCCTAACACATTATGGTTTTGGTTTTTACAAATAGCCGCATGGATGCCCGTAGACACTGGGGTATGTATCCCCCTTCCCTCCCTTTATCTAGCTTTGCTGTCCATGTGCCTGGGCACTTGCATGCGTTTGTTTTCTAACATTTTTTAGAGGTTTTGTTAGACCAGGGGCTAATGTTAATGCAAACTCTGATGTGAAATTCGGTATTCACAACTTCCTCTTTCTACACCTCGAGTCCCACCCCAATATTTGAACTCCGGGGATCTGTTACCTGAACATTAATTAATAAAAGTAATTAAGAAATCGTGATTCTTGAAATCTGGAAGAACTTTCCGCAAACCGAATAGAACAGACGTATATACTATTACATATTGAGCCTTATATAACGTTAGAGATCGTGACAGTTGGGAGAAATTAGTAATTAATTCGCTTCCTCATACAGCACACATTGTTAATCTAAATTAATAACCATATTAATGTTCCTCCTCTCTTATCAACATAATGAATTACGGGCCCGATGAATGAAATGGGGTTTAACGTCCTATTTTTCTGCGCCGTCTGGGCTAATCAAGACGGGGATATTGTATCCACCTCTACATGCCAGAATGCAGAACCCCTACGAAAATAACGTACCGCAAGACATGTTTCGCACCTGTGTATTTTCGAGAAAAACAGAATCGTTTCCAATTGTTTGAGTTGGTGTGGTGGTTAGGCAGAGAAGGTGAGGTTGATTTGCCGAAACGTTCTGTTAATCACCAGTCTGAATTGTTAAAATCAATAATCTATGGGAGAGTATATGATAAAAGTATCAAAAATTTCCAAATGTATAAACATGAAACGAAAATGATACCAGTTTCCTAAAAATCAAAGAGTTCTTGGAGAGTTGCGTATCCGAAAAAAACAATAGAATAATCCATATTCAGTTATCCATGGATATCGGTTATTAATAAATATAAATTGCTTACCTATGGCCGCCTCCGTTTGGTAAACATTCCAATATATTTTCCAAAAAAGATCACAAATTTAGAGCTCGAACCGTTTATAAGCTTCCAACACCCATCACTGCAATTAAACTGTTTTAAAACTAAGAAAGATAAAACGCCGAGATATGAGAAGCAGGAACAGGCGCTTAGTCAAAAACTCAACTCGCAAGATCTAGGTAATTTACCTATAACGACTGCATCAACTATTAATACTCTTCATTAGCTGGTTTGTATTCTATTTATTAGATGCTCAGCACAATTTTCTCGATCTCCGATATTATCTGTTAAATTCAAATTACTTGTCTTAACTGTCCAGTTGTAGCCGATACTAGAGTTTATAAATGTTGCATCAAGATATCTTGTATAAGCCGGAGAAGAAAATGCGGGGAGTATTACTCAAAGCGTGTTCTCTATCCACCAACAGTTAAATGGACTGACCACGAATAACTGTGTAGGATGCACTGTACGGGCGTCGTGTCCAATAGAAAACAAACTCCTCTCTCTTTCTCTTTCATATAAAACAAAACGGATCTAAATTACAAAACCTTTTACACTTTTTGACACTTCTCCCACAACTTTTTATCAAACTTTATTCATCTTCTGTCGCTCTTTTCAACCAAACTAAAAAAAACCGGTTCGACAAGAATGAAAATGTCTTGCACTAAATTTTGTAAGAGGATTAGGAACTGACAAAATCCAAATTACGCCTGTAGAGTTTTCTTTACCCAATAAACAGAGAAATTAATGTTCAAAAACTTGCTGGGTAGTTTTAGCCAAGTGATATAGTGGAATCTAAGATCCTCATATTAGTGATCTGGGTGTATTTTTATAGAAAGAATGGTTACTATATACTGGACTCAATCAATAGATCAAGCTATATAGCAATATCATCAACGATACGATACGATAGATTTTATACGCTGTAGCTTTGGTCACATACTGTAGGTAAGCTTGTTTAATGGGAGAAAGGTAATAGGCTCTTCCTTCCCAGTCCATTCATAGCATTTGTCAAACACACTATAAGCCCGTGTAGCTTTCATTTGAAGAACAGCGAATTGCTGTTATCCTTCGTTATTCTGACAAATAATAACGCGACTTAGTCTGTATTTCCTTATTTAAATAACGTTTTATCTGATAATGTTTAACTAGAGTATTATTAAACCCTCTGGTCGTCATTATTTAAGGAATGTTTAATCCTATGCCAACCATAGTATTGTTAAAGCTGAATCTTCAAAAGAATATTAGTCCAAAAATTGTTCAAATCCGTTGAGTATTTCCAAAGATACGATGAATTTAAAATTTCGCAACATTTGATCTGCAGACGATGTAACGGGATATGGTCGTTGTACGAAAAATGCAAATGACGACCATCGGCTTTGATGTAAAAATGAATTTTACTTTCAACGCTCGATAAGATTTTTTTCTATTTGATATACTTGACGCTACAAGGGGGCCGCGATGGCTCAGTAAGTAGGGCGTTGGATCGATAACCTGGAGGTCCCGTGTTCAAAGCCGGAGTTGGCCGAGATTCTCAGCCCCAACTGTCAGTCGTACATGCATAACGTATAGTCGTTCAGATGGGACGAAAACCCGAGATCACGTGTACACATTGACGTGTGTACGTAAAAAGAACCCTTGGCAGTTGTAATTCGATATAAAAGTAGACCGTAGCAGAACAGTACAGAAAAACGTTAAACCCCATTTCATTTCATTTTGTTGGACTATACAATAAAACCGATAAAAATTCATTTCAGATTTTGCACAATTTCAGGTAAACGATCCACTCAGTTGCGAGAAAGGTCCACGTGATTTTTCAACCTGGCTGCATGTCGTTCAGACGTTAAGAACACCGGAGGTAAGATACAATATAGCGTATTTAGACCGTCTTAAACTCTTTTGACTTTTTGACAATTCGATTATTTTGATATTTACATACGATTAGCTTTTTTCCTGGGTCAGGTGAATTTGCGCAGAAAGCGCGGATTCCGCTTACTCTTCATCAACCAGCATGGGATCTTTTATGTGCTTGCTTACAGTGTATAAATGATACATTTATATTATTGTCAACTCAGTCAAGAGACCAGCCCTCCCCCCCCCCCCAAAAAAAAACAAAAAACAACCTGTACTCAATACATATAAACTAATTTTGCCCATGCGGCCTTTAATCGTGAATTATAGATTTTATAAGTCAACTGGAGGCGGGGGGGTCACAGTTGTTCAACGAGAATGACAGTGCACTAATAAGGGGCTATTAGGTTCGATCCCGGTGATGGTCGACAAAGCCTGGAACCTGTTGGTCATTGGTGCGGCCCGGATGGGACAAACACCCGAGGTTTCATTTACACATTGACATCCACATAAAAGAACCCTTGGGGTAGGTGGAAAGCCAGGAGGAAATACCACCACTATCTGTGCAAAACTTTCCGTCTTCATTAGCTCTGTTGGTGCAGAAGACTATGACGTTAAGCCCCGTTTAACATAGTTTCAAAATCGACTGGAATCGAAGTGATTTCATGTGCACGCCTACAAATACTTTGCCAATATTGTTTTATTCATAGTGCAAGATACCATGCACAGATATACCACATTCTTATGTTCTGCGAATGACATAATTATAATGAATAGTCTTACCGCGACATTCAACCCCACGACCATTCATTGTAATCATCTGTCTGATGCCAATGTACGACTATTGTAGCCTATAAATCGTGGCATTCTAACGCTCACTCTATAAGTAAATAGCTAGTGTAAGGCTGCCAGCTCAAGTGAACTGTAAACTCAGATTAAAGATATACTTTTTTCATCATATTCTTATTCTGATTGGCAGCGCCATGTGTGCAATAATAAAGATATAGACCAACTTTTCATTCTAATCATGTCGGCGGTAAATAGCAACATTTGCATGCAGTAGTTTTAGGGTTTTGTTATAACAAATGATTTGATTTTTTAGATTCAGTTTGGTTTTGTTTGTTTGTTTTGTTTTTGTTTTTTTGGTGGGGGTGGGGAGGAGGGGGGTGAAATGTGGTTTAACGTCCCACTGTTCTGCGCCGACTGGGCTAATGAAGACAGGTTTGCGCCATACAGTGTGATGTAAGGGAACTTTTGCCCGGATAGCGGCACCACTGCCCACCCTTATTGCGAAATTCAATAAGGTTTCATTTACGTGCACGCCAATGTGTTGACAGGACATCGGTTATTCCCCTTTCCAAACGATTAGACACTGTCCTTGTCAGACCCTTCGCTAACAAGGGGAAACCGCGCAGGGAACTCCTTAGGAACTTTCTCGGTCAACAACGGGAGGGAACCCGAGACCTAACGGTTAGCGAGACAGTGTCTTACTCACAGAGCCACAGCGTCTCCTAGTCACGAACAAACGGGGATTCGAAACCACGCCACATGACTCAATCACATACCTTATGAGTTAAACCATTTGCCCACCCCCTCCATTGTTAAGAGAAGGGGTTCGTTTTCACATAACAGCATTACTTTTGTAACTGTATGTTGGCCTGTGCATCTTGGTTAGGTTATTACTACAATGCGCGCACACACGTGATTTCCTTCACTTGTTGAATTAACGAGCAATAATTGTAATGCGACCAGCGGTGAAGGCGATATATCCATGCCGTCACAGTTACATGCAAGCGGATTATTTTTTCTAGCATTATGGTTAAAATTATTAGAAATCGCTACGAAAATCATCCGAGTGCGTTGGGCTTAACTCTTGTTATGTCTGTGTTGGACAAGTCTGGAGGTCGGGTGTTCGATCCCTGCATTGGCTGAGAAAATTCATCCAGATTTTCCGGCGTGGTTCCCCCCTGTCAATGATGAAGGACAGAAGGCATGACAAGGACAGTTGTCTAGTCTTTCGGATGGGACGAAAAACCGAGGTCCCGTGTACACATTGGCGTGCACGTAAAAGACCCCCTGACAGTTGGAATTCGAGATAAAGAGTAGGCCGTAGTGCCGCTGTCCGGGCAAAATTTCCCTCATAGCACACTGTATGGCGTATGCTCGTCTTCATTAGCCTAATTTGGACCCCCTCCCTGTACAAAATGTATAACATAATCCTCTCAAGCTGTTCTATAAAAGTTCTCTTGAATTATTAAGGGGAAATCGGAGCAATGCTGCCCACAATCCGGATCAGATATCGACTTCATTCCAAGACAACACAAACAAGAATTTCAAGATCACATTAATTGGCTATTGCTAAGGCAATTTTTGTTTAATTTGAAATCTGAAACTATTGTTTCTTAAATCGGATCATTCAGTTTAATTAAAAGGGGCGCTTTAATACGATTTGCTTTACGTCGGTACAAAATTGATTTGTTTTAGTGGTTTGGGATAGTTGTTAGTATTGCCTGTGGTTATTCTCATAGATACATTAATGGTTACCAGGGGGATGGGTGGCCGAATGGTTAACGCGTGCGCGTTGTATCATAAGGTCTGTCATTGATTCAAGTGGTATAGTTTCGATTCTCCGCTTGTACGTGGCAAGGTATAGGTCGCCTGTCCAACCTCTTGGGTTTTCTCCGAGTTCTCCGTTTTCCCCCCACAGCTAAAGACACCTATGCGCAAGCGAATTAATGAAATAAAATTTAACTATATGTTAGTTCCGAAATGACCTAGCTTGTGTCGATTGGACTTTGAACCCCATCCTCTCTCTTTCTAATGGCTACCATGTTAATGTCATTTATTGTAACCAAGACAAAATATCGGTAGAGAAATAATGACATGTATTTTAGACGTAATTTGCTTGTTAAATGTTATGGAAATTAGAAATAGAACATCGATTAACCAAACCAAACATTTAATATTGATACAATAACGATCGTAGACTAGCGATCCAAATATATTTATAAGCATTGATTATTTCCCTTTGTAAGATCTTCACTACTGTTGGACTAGAGATTTTTTTAACCTATCTCATGGACTTCTATGGTTTAATTATAACTATAAAAAAAAACATTGATTACAAATTAAACAATTTAACACATACGTGCACGCACAACAAAATTGTTAATTAATGTGAATCCCACATGTAATTGAGAAGTCGCATCAAGCATCCTAGAACAAGTAAGCATACCCTGTTCCGGACATGATATACCTCACTAATTACAGATGTGGAAAACAGTTTAAAAATAGTCTCCAGTGTCATTGCCACCAGTCCAGTAAAGTTGTTTAAATATTGAATGGAATTGTGGATACTTTGAAAGGAAAATGAGCTTGCAAAATGTCTAAGTACACAGACAGAACATACCAAACCAGTGTCATGTATGTAGGATCAGACCCCGTTTTATTGTAGACTAGCTCTATACTCGGCTTCGCCCGGGGCCCAAGATATGCCTATAGTCTGGAGGCTCAGCGCGGGGGGGGGGGGTGTCCATCAAATGGGCACAAAACCAGACCCAACTTTTCTAGAGTAAAATTTTGCGTAGAATACGATGCCGATTGGTAATCAGTCCGCCGTTGGGGCGTTTTCGAGATATTCGGGGTCAAAGGTCAAATGAGTTCATTTGCACTGAAAGTGAATGCGCAGTCATTCTTGTATTATGAAAATAAGCTGAA